GTATCATTCAGTTGTTCCAGGCTATTTGGGAATTCCTTAAGGAAAAGCTCATTTTTCCAGTTGTACCATACGTAGTTTTCTTGATGTTACTTTTTACATTCCTGAGAGCTTTTAAACGAAAACTCTTTTTCAACCAGTCCCGTAAGTACCAGCTCTTAAAAGTCATTGCATCATAAGACATATGTGCTAATATTTGCTGTGAAGATAATTACATTTCCATTAAGGAGAACACTGACACTAGATGATTCCTTAATGTCACCTTTAGTGAGTAGATATTTTTTCCATCATGTCTTTAATCACATGTCATTATTCTATCTTCTGTTACTAACACTCAAAAACGCTGGTGGTTAAAGGATGATGTAAGTTTAAGAGGAGTCATAAGCAAAGACAAGAAACTGTAATTATTCTGCAGAGCTATCAAGTTATCAATTTGGCGTTGCAGGGAGTTATTTTCTTTCTTTTCTTTTTTCTTTTTTTTTTTTTTAAGAGTGTACTTCCTTTTCAAGTGAAGGCAATTAGGAGTCGGTGCAGACTGGCTATTACATGGAGCCTTCAAAAGCACATCCAAGCCCAGTTATTCAGCTTCTTATTTGCAACTCTGATGATACAGATTGGTGCACAGAAAAGCGGGAGACTCAGGAAATTACCAGCATGTTGCTAACTCAAGCCAAAAGTGCTTTGGGAGATTTCTTTGTCTCTTTTATCATGAAAGTCTTGACGAAAGAACTAAAAGTCCTCTCCAACTTATCAAGGCTTCTCACTTCTCTAGTTCTCTTTCGGAAATTTATTCTAAACCTAATAGGTTATGTGTTTGGGGGCACATTCAGACACACAGAAAAAAACAGAAAGTGTATCATAATGATAATTCGAAGATCATATCTGTTGATGGCTAAGAAGTAAAGTCAGTTTTAAACACCCCAACTTGAAAACACATTTAATAAGTAGAAACACAATAGAAATACCAGAATCTGCGCTGTGCTCTACCCAAACCACCATTTTCAACTCCCTGCTACTCATCAGCCATCAAAATCACATTTTACTTTACTGATATTTAAGACCAAAATGATCTAAAATATAAGTAGAGCTTTGTTATACAATTACTCGGGCCTAGTATTGCCTTTCTTATTTGTAAAAACATTTTATTGCTATTTCCAATTTCTTATCTTTTTCCCTTCTCTACCTTAAAAGCGTTTTAAGCGCCCCTTAATTATGTAAATGACTTCTTGGCATTAAGGTGTGGTACTTCACATCATCATATCTTCTTCATTCTGGACTAACCAATAGCATTTTAGGAGTTTTCTTAATAATCTGCTGAACTGATTTATAAGATCCCCTGATCCAGAGGCCAGATTTGCTGATCTTCATGTTCATCTTTAAAGCTATGCTTAGTTACATTGGTATAAACAAGACATAAATAGAAAATAATGAAGGAAGGTAAAAGATCCCAGATAAGAACTTCAGACTATATATACAAAGGGTAGCAAAAAATGCATACACATTTTAATAAAGGAAAAAACTGTATTAAAATTGCAATACTCAATATATACCGATAGCAAAAGAGGAACACAAATCACATCAAGCACCTCTCAACAGAAGTCAAATGTGACTTGGCCATTACAATTTTAACACAATCTCTGCCGTTCTTAACATGTGTATATATTTTTCACACTCTTTGTATAGTTTTAATTATACGAGAGTAAACTTATCAAAGATTATTCATTGTATCAACAGACATGTTTTTTCAATAATTATCTCACATCTAGAATATTCTAATAGCTTAATTCCTGGTCTCACTCTTTCCTTGCCATTTGTTTCTCAAAATAAAACAACGTATTATGAGAATTCTCGGGACAAAATATCTATTTTTAAAAAGTTTCTTTTTACAATTTCAAGAAGATGTGGTATAAATGTTTTTGGTTTACATGAATTGCATTTGTAATGCTTGAGTCAGGTAACCATCATCAAGATGGTGTTTACTGTTGGGTAGTATCTGCCCATTCTCCTCTCCCCACCAGCCATCCAGCATGATTTCCACCGACTTGTACTTCCCTCTGTTCACCTGTGCTCACTACTACAATGTAGTAGTGAGTGCAAGTGATACTCTTTAGATACTTCACTTAGGATAAGGGTCTCTAATTCCATCCAAATTGCTGCAAAGGGTATTGATTCATCTTTTCTGTAGCTGAGTAGTATTCCGTGGTATAAGTACACACTACATTTTGTTAATCCAGTCAATAATTGATGGGCACTTGAGCTGATTCCACATCTATACAATTGTGAATTGTGCTTCAATAAACATCCGAGGGCAGGTGCATTTTTGATAAAATGACTTCTTTTCTTTTGAGTAGGTACTCAGTAGTGGGACTGCTGGATCAAACAGTAGGTCTACTTCTAGGTCTTAGAGGAATCGTTCTATTCTCCCTGCATCTACACCTGTGTCTTGGACTTTTTAATAAAAGCCCTTCTAACTGGGGTAAGGCAATATCTCTTTGTGTTCAATTTGCATTTACCTGATGCTCAATGATACTGAGAATTTTGTAGTTTTTTGTTTGTTTGTTTGTTTTGAGACTGAATCTCCTTTATCAGCCTGGATAGAGTGTCATGGCATCATAGCTCACAAAAACCTCAAACTTGTGGTCTCAAGCAATTCTCTTGTCTCAGCCTCCTGAGTAGCGGGGCCTACACATACCTACCACAACACCTGGCTGATTTTTCTATTTTTAGTATAGATGGTGTCTTGCTCTGAGTTCAGGCTGGTCTTGAACTCCTGAGTTCAATGACTCCACCCTCTTCTGCCTCTCAGAGAGTGTTTGGATTACAGGCATTAGCCACCACCCCCAGCCATTTGTCTGTCCTCTTTTGAAAATTTCTACTCATGTCTTTTGCCCATTTTTAAGGAAGTTGTTTGTTTTATTTTTTTTTCTTGCTAATTTATTTGAGTTCTTTGTAGATTCTGGATATTAGGCCTTTATCAGATATATAATTGCAAATATTTTCTCTTCTTTTGTAGGTTGTCCATTTGCTCTATTGATTATTTCCTTAGTTGTGCAGAAGTTTTAAATTCAATCAAGTCCCATTCATTTATTTTGTTGTTGCTGTAATTGCCATTGGAGTTTTAGTCATAAATTCTTTATCTAGGCCAAAATCCAGAAGAGTTTTCCTGACATTTTCTTCTAGAATTCTGATGGTTTCATGCCTTATATTTAAGTCTTCTTATCCATCTTGAATTGATTTTTGTGAGTGGCCAGAGATATGTATCCTGTTTTATTTTTCTACATTTGGCCATTCAATTTTCCCAGCAGCATTATTGAATAGGACTTCTTTGCCTGCTTTATCAAAGATCAGAGGGCTATATGTGGATGTTTTAATATCTGCATTCTCTGTTCTATTCCATTGGCCTATGTCTCTCTTTTTGTAAAATGCCATGCTGTTTTGGTTACTATAGCATTGTAGCATAGTTTGAAGACTGGTAACTTAATACTTCTAGATTTGTTCTTTTTATTTAAGATTGCTTTAGCTGTTCTAATTCCAAAAGAAAGATAAAATTATTTTCTAGATATGAATTTTTCTAGATATGTGAAATATGATGTTGGAGTTTTGATGAGGATTGCACTGAATTTGTAAATCACTCTGGGTTTTACAGACATTTTAACAATGTTAATTCTACTAATCCACGAATATGGTATGTTTCCATTTGTTTGAGTTGTTTGCAGTTTCTTTCCTCATTGTTCCATAGTTCTCTTTGTAGAATTCTTTCATCTTCTTGATTAAGTATACTCATGGGCATTTTATTGTCTTTATGGCCATTTTCAATGTTAGTGATTTTTTTATTTGATTCTCAGCTTGACTGTTATAGGTATGTATAAATGCTACTGACTTATATGCATTGATTTTGTACTCTAAGATTTTGCTGAATTTATTTATCAATTCCAGGAGTCTTTTGGTAGAATCTTTGGGGTTTTCTAAACATAAAATCATATCAACAGTGAGCAAGGGTTGTGGACCTTATTTTCCCAATTTAATGCCCTTTATTGCTATCTCTTGTCTGGCTAGGACTTCCATCACAGTGTCGAATAGAAATGGTGATAGTAGGCGCCCTTCTCTTGTTCATGTTTTTAGGAGGAATGCTGTCAACTTTTCTCCATTCAGTATGATGTTGGCTGTGGGTTATCATATATGACTTATAACTTTGAAGTATGTTTCTTCTTTGCCAGCATGTTCAATTTTTCCAGCAATATTATTTAAAAGGACTTCTTTTCCTTTTTAAAGGTTTTTTATCATCAAAGTGTCCTGAATTTTGTCAAATGATTTTTCTACAGCTATTTGAGATGATCGTGAGGTCTTTTTTTGGTTTTTATTGTTGTTCTATTTATATGGTGAGTCACATTTATTGACCTATGTGTGTTGAACCATCCTTTCATCCCTGGGATGAAGCCCACTTGATCTTGGTGGATTAATGTTTGATGTGCTGATGAATTTGATGTGGTGATATTTTACTAAGGATTTTTGCATCCATATTCATTGATATTGGTCTGTGGTTTTCTTTCTTTCTCTGTGCTCTTTATTGGCTTTGTTGTCAAGGTGATATTGGCTTTGTAGAATGGGTTAGGGAAGATTTGCATCTTCTTGATATTATGGAATAATTTCTGCAGCATGGGTACCAATTCTTCCTTCTAGGTTTGAGAAATTAGGCTGTGAGTCCATATGGTCTAGGGCTTGTTTCTTTGGAAGATTTTTGATTACTGCTTTAATTACTGAGCTCTTTGTTGATCACTTCAGGAGTTCTTTTTCTTCCTGGTTGAGTTTTGGGAAGTTTTGTGTTTCCAGGAATTTGTTCATTTCCTCTATGTTAAAAATATAAAATTTATCGAGCAGCACCTGTGGCTCAAAGGAGTAAGGTGCCAGCCCCATATGCCGAAGCTGGAGGGTTCAAACCCAGCCCTGGCCAAAAACTGCAAAAAAAAAAAAAAAAATGTATATATATATACATATTCCATGTGTATATATGGAATTAATTAACTAATTTGCATGTCATCCCTGTGCAGGGGCCATGTTAATTTTCTCTATATACTTCCAATTTTAGTTTATATACTGCTGAAGCAAACATCAAAGTTTCTGAAGCTATAGTCCATGAATGCTCTGATTCGAAATTTTCGAGGAAGTCTATTAAAAAGGAAGATTCTTAGTTCCTTTCTCAGTCTTGTGAATAAGAATCTCTGTGCCTCACAAGCCCCCATGGTAATTATTAAACTATCAGCTATTAATAAATACAGTATAAACTAAAATATCCAGGTTTCTCTGAGATGTAGACTAAAATGTGACCTAATTTCTTACTAACTTTCTTAGTTCCTGAATTAGCCACATTCTTTGGGTTTGGGAATCAGTTACTCCCTGGTTACTCAGTATAAAGAAGGTTTATAAGTAGACTACCTCAAGAACTGAGCTAGCCCTAGAGACAAGCTATTTCTTTTAATTTTCTTGGGAACCTCATAGTTTCTCTTCATGGAGCTTTTTATGTCTCATAATTTCAATTGCCGTGTATTACCATGATACTGCTTACAGTTTTTCTATATATTTATCTTCCACTGAAATATTATGTATTTAAGTTCAAACAATAAGAGAAGAAGTATGATTTACTTTGCTTTTTTTTTTTTTTTTTTTTTTACCAAGACAACATACAGGTTTTTGGCAAGCTTGTGGGGTAGCTGACCTCTAATCCAATAAGGGACACTTGGGAACAAGAACACCTGGTAATAATCATGTTTACCTAAGAAAAAGCCATTATTAAAGATTTAATACACAAGTGTCCTCAAAGAAAAGGTCTAGGGCAAGTGCTTACATCAGGAAGCCAATTGTACCTTCTCTCCCTCAGTCAAAATATTTGTAAACAATATTCTTTTCTTTCTTAAATAACACATTAGATTTTCTCATCTCTCTGCCTTTATGTGCATATTTCAATCTGAAATGCCTACTATCTTGATCTACATCTGAAGTTTTACTATTCCTTCAAGGTACTTTCTCAATTCAATTTCATGAGGTTTTTCTAAAATGTCTAAAAAGAATTAAATCTTTGTGAACTCTTTTTTTAATGACCCTTTAAAAATGTCTTTATTTGGGGCAGTGCCTGTGGCTCAATGAGTAGGGCTCTGGCCCCATATACCGAAGGTGACAGGTTCTAACCCAGCCCTGGCCAGACTACAAAAAAAAAAATAGCCAGGTGTTGTGGCTGGCACCTGTAGTCCCAGCTACTCGGAAGGCTGAGGCAAGAGAATCACCTAAACCGAAGAGCTGGAGGTTGCTGTGAGTGCCATGGCACTCTACCAAGGGCAACAGAGTAAAAACTCTGTCTCTAAAAAAAAAAAAAAAAAAAAAGAAAAGAAAAGAAAAAAAGTCTTTATTTATTTTTTGTATTTTTAAATATTATTTTTGCCTGTCATGTCTATAGTGTTTGCCTATATTTAAAATCCTTTGGATAATTGTGAATCACCAGAGATTGAGAAACTTTTAAATTTATTTTATAGCTCCTCTGTATAGTTAAATATAGTGATATAAGCATTAATCACTAAAATTGTGGTTTTGAATTTTACTTACTAATATGGCAAATCCAGAATTATGAAGTTCAAATCATTATTTGAGATTTTTCATTTGATTTAGGGTAGTATTACATTCAATATGATTGTATCAGTTTATATAATGTTAAAAATATTAAATATTATTATGTGAGACAAAATAATATAAAAAGCAACACTTATAACATGTGTTCCTTCATAAAACATGGAGATTCTAATAGGTATTATGTGTCCCACGGTTTATCTGATGATAAATAAATTAACAACACTAAAAATTTCAAGTCTTACTATCTTAGCTACTCTGGGTCTTATTTTTTCACTTATAAAATAAACAGAGTGGTCTGATTTGTTTAGATTGTTTATAAAATACCTTACAGTTCTGACACCCTGAAATCTTAGGAACCTTTTTATATTATTACCAATATTACCTTCCTTGTTATTCTTCTTTTCTCTTCATTTTCATATCCATCAATTTTTTATGCTATTTTTCTTCCTCATCCGTTAAGATCTAAATTTATTGAATTTGCATTAGTCAGACTTTACTTGCTTGCTGCCTTCCTTAGGTTTAAAATAGAATTTTCTCACTGACCCTGTTATCTTCCATTTTAAGGTACATTGGAAGGAACACTCTAAATCGCATATCTTAAGTTTAATTTCTTGGAATTTAACTTAATTAAGATGTTTAGAATATTTTGTGCAATTACAGAATCTAATTGCATGACAATATGTACAAGGCATTCCAGGAAGTTTTGGAACACATGCATTGGGGATTCTCTCTTCTCCTGTCTCTCCTTAGCCCCAGCTGGTGAGTCAGAACTGCACTGGCAGAACCTGTGGAAGATCCTGGAAAATACGATTCCTTAGGAAAGCAGATTATTCTTCGCTGTGGAAAATGCCAGGTTGTAAAAACAGAGGCTGGATGACTGAATTTATAGCACTAATTATCTCAGAATGGTAATTAACTATTTTCTTCAAGTTTTCAGCAATTTAAATGCCTCCTTTAATGCTGCAGCTGTATTGTGTTTTAGTATGAGTGTGTTTGGATCTTCTGTTTGGATTCCAGAGAATAATTGCTAACTTGTTTTTACTTTTCCTTCCTAGGTATTTTGCATTCATTCCTCCACTGGATCTCATTATCTATGATAAGAAATGCTTTAGTGTAGATTGATTTTTCAATTAAGATGACCACGAATGAATATATAAATTTTTGACCTTAATATCAACATCTTTTTTTCATGAAAATTACTGATATGTTTCAATTTATTTTACCATCTTAATTTCATACATAGAAATTTTAGAGCTCTATTAGGTTAAACTGAAAAGCCAGACTCTCCTGAGTTTACTGCTTACTAGCTACTGAGTTTGAACAATTTATTTAAATGATTTATATGTCAAGTTCCTCATATTTCTAATGGAATAATAGTATTTCTTACTCAGTATCATTATAAAGATTAAGAGAGAAAGCATCTAATATACTCACGATATTGCCTAATTTTATGATATGTATTCAATGATTTTGCATAAATGTATTTAACTTTATGCTTTCCATAACATTCTTTCACTGTTACTTTCTCTTTTCTATATTTACATTGGATTAATTTTAGTGTACTATGATGTATTGTTTGTCACTACCACTAGTTTCAAGGTTTTACATTTTATGTTATTTTTATGGTTAAATTTAATGTTTGGATTTAAACTACAGTTTAATATATAGCTTTAGTTTCCTCACAAAAACACAAAGATTATAAGAATACTTTAAGGATTGTATTTACTCATACATTTCCCAATATTTGCTTCTGTTGATTCGTATATTCTACATCTTCAAGAGTTTCAATCCTTCTTTCTCAAGGAGAGTCTTGTCAGGGGAAAGCTCTCTCTGTCTTTATTTGAAATTGTCTTTCCATGACCCTCACATTTGATAGATTAGCTGGGTAGAGAAATATAGGTTGACAGTTATTTTTTTTCTCCATTCTGTGAAGATATTTCAAAATCTTGACCTCTACTTTTTTGTTGAGCTATCTGTAACAGTCACTTATAGTAGTTTTAAAATACTACCTGGCTTTTCTATTTAGTTACATTTTAGATATTCTCTTTCACTTGTTCTGAAATTTCACTAAAACGTGTCTAAATGTAGAATTACTTTTTCTTTAGGTAACTTATGCTTTTAGAATATGTAGATGTTTAATTCTGAACATTTTCAACCATGGTCTATTCAAATACATGCTCCCTTATTTTCTGTATTGTCTTATTCTGGAGCACCTATCTAACATGTATAGGCATTCTTGTTCTATTCTCCCTCTCTCTGAAACTGTCTTTCATTTTTCTCATTCTCTCTGCTACATTACAGATAATTTTGCCAATTTATTTTTTAATCCTCCAATTCACTTTTTAGTTGTCACTAGCTTCCAGTGAATTGTTTTTATCATAATACCATTTCAATAAGTCTTCTTCTATGAGACTTCTTGTGATTGTAGAATGTCTCTATACAGTGGTTTTATATTTGCTTTTATTGGGAACACATTAGTCTGGGACAAGTTTTTATTTAATTATGCAGATGGGGGTTTCTACATGTTGCAATTATTGGCAATTTAGACTTTGATATTGATAATTCGGTCCATGTTTACAACTTGCTCTTTCTTTCCCATTCAGAACTTAGGCAGATAGATGCTTCATTGTTGTCTACCTCCTTCCTATGTCAGTGCGTAGACTTATAGTGTTTCCTTTTACTGGAGTTTCAACCTTCTTAGGGCCCCAGAGCTATTCATGAATCTCTTTGCCATGTTTTTATTTCAACAAACTAAAGTGAGGCCATTAAAATCCAAGTGCTTGATAGACTGAGCCTGCTACTCAACTCCTCTATAGTTTCGTTAATACTCTTAACTGTAGCACTTGGGGATTCTTCTCCTATATTCTCCATTCATCTACACATTTTACATGAAGGTCTGGCAATTAAGTACCTCCATGCACATACATTGGCAAAACTGTACAAAAGCACTCAGTAAGGTGTCATAACTTTGGTTTGTCACTGTCTCACAATGTGTTCATGTCAATGTGTGGTGGTGCCTTGCTGAGTGGTGTTCATTATTGTTGTGTGTTTTTGTGTGCTCTCATGAGAATTTCAGAGCTTGAATTAGAGCAACAAACAAACATTAAATTTCTTGTTAAACTTGGTAAGAGTGAAAGTGAAATCAGAGACATGTTAGTCTAAATTCATGGAGATATTGTCATGAAGAAAATATCAGTATATAAATGGATTAAATGCTTTTCTGAGGGGAGAGGAAAGCATCACTGATGAAAAGAGGTTAAGGTGGCTAGTAGCAAGCAGAAATGATGAAAACATTGCAAAAATTTATCAAATTGTGGATCAAAACCATCAGCGGACTGTGAGAAGCATAGCAAACCAAGTAAACATCCATGGAGAAACACTGAGAACAATCTTAACTAAAATCTTGGCAAGAGGAAGGTGGCTCTTGCATCACAACAGTGTACTAGTACATGCATCATTGTCAGTGAGGGAGCTTTTAGCCAGTCAAC